GCATGGCGCTAATCACAGTTCTGCAAATAAGTTAAATATTTGCTCCACACATTTGCGAAACTGTGGCACAAATGTTGCCATGTTGCAGCATGGTTCTGATCTTCCCTTACAGGAGCAGCAACTCAACCTATGACTAATCAAACAAGAGTTGTACGTGTGGCTTGCATTGAGGTTATGCACAGCGTGCAAATGTTAATCTATTACTAAGCCAAAGTTAACCATTATTTCTGTTAGGTATATATCTTTAAGTGCTGACAGAAATCTCACTTGAAAGTGTTCCTTTGTTATATTTTTCTTAGAGGGATGCAGATGCATGAATGATTCATGTTGCATGTGAAATTATGCTGTGACCTGTAATAATAGCCTTTGCTATATTTTGTTACGAAGCTAGATCCAAACTAAATTTAAAATCCGAGTCTGTCTGTAAAATCTACTGCAAGCTTCCAGATTTTGGCCCAGAAGTCCCACTCTGCAGTGTTTTTAGTCTTTTTATTTTTCCAGGTCATCTGTTTTATGGAGAAAGAACATATAGCCATCTGGGAGATTAGCATATATATTTTATGAAGCAGAGTAGAGCTCTCTTTTTACTGACTCAGATGCTAAAGACCCAGATTTGCAGCCTGCCTCCTAGCTAGCACAGCACAGTTCATAAAGCTTCTGTTGCCAGTGGCTTATCCCACTCCTCCTCATCAAGAACAAACCTACACTAAAGTGATGTTGGCAAAGGAGTACAGTCATAAAGTGGGGGAAAAAAACCCAGTCCAGCTTTACAGTAATGTAGAGAGGCAATTTTTAATGATAGAAAAATCCATTTGTCAGTAAAACTTACATTGAGTAGAAATTATCAGCAATTGATCAAACAAATCTGGTTACTAGTGTGAGATTCATCTCCAGGGTGGTATATATGGCTGTATCTGGGGGTACAGGCATGGAACAGATCTGTGGAATATCCTCTGAAATGTGTAAAAGCCAAATGAGAGTGCTGGGTTAATTTAATATGCAGTATAAATTACCATGGGATGTAAAAGGAGTGAGCTGCAATAGGATGTGCCAAGGGGCATCTCCTTAATCTTTTATACTTTCTTACTGTTCTGGTAGAGATGTGCTGTCATTGTAGCAATAGCTGGAATTACAGTCTCTTTCTGGTACTGCTGTGTAGTTGGACTGTGCCTGCAGTATTTCCTTTTTTTCTGGACATTCCTCTTCCTTTTGTTTTTTAATACCATTCTGGATTTTCCCTTTCAGAACACAAATACTAGGAGCCTAGACTGCCAACATTTTGATATCCAGTGTAGATTTATAACCATGGACTGCCAAGTTTTGGTAAGTTATAGAACTGCTAAATCCAATAGTAGTCTGCACAAGCCTCTAGGACAAAAGCTGAGATCATAATCCTAAATTTGCATTAATAATGATACTGAATAGGCAGAATACTTTCCATTGTTTCTTAAAACCAAGACTGGGAATAGACTGGCCTTTTTGTTTACCCTCTAATAATTTATTGATACTTTTAAAATGTAGATGCAAAAATTAAATTAAATTAGAGCCTGAATTAAAAGCTTTGGTTCAAAGTTCTCAGTTTGAAGAAAGTTTGAACTAAATTCAGAGTATCATCTGCATTTTGCAGGTTAGACCCTTCTTTTGAAACACAGTATAACAAAATCCATGTCCAAACTTTAAGAAGTACGGAGTGTGTATTCAAATATAGACTTAAAGAACTGGATCTGTTATATCTAGAATCTAATTGCCATTATTCAGACCTGCTGAATAATAATGGGAACAGATAAAGTCTTACTAGAAAGTGCATAAGAAAAAACTTTCAGTGTAGCATTTGGGCTATATGTTCATCAGGAAGGTGTGAACCATTTCAAAAATATTTCTGTATCTTGCCAATGCTAAAATGTCGTCTTTCAAAGACTGCATGCAGACAGCCTTTAATGTTCTTTTCATCTACCATTTGCCAGTTACTGGAATATGAATTTATCATTTGCTGACAGTTCTATTTACCTTGATGCTAAGAACAGCCTACCCAATCTGATCAGATCTTTTCATTCAGAAACCAGTCTCTGACATGGCTGGTAAAAGATGCCAAGAGAAGTCTATGAGTGGGAAAATCCTATGATGGCTCTTCAGAGTATTTCCCTGGACACTCTCCCAGCTTCAGGGATAAGTGGCTTCCTGAGCCAGTCACACCAGTTCTGTAGAAACAAACATATAATCACGGGAAATAAAAAAAAAAGGATAAAAACCAAACAGGCGAAAAAAAAAAAAAAAAAAAAAAAGGCTATGTACTTTGGCATCAAGACATTCCACAATGATATCAAGGCATTCCACAAGATGGCAGAATTCTGTCTTGGCAGGCCACTACAGCAGGCAACCTGAGCCTCTACAGTAGCAATTTTTTTCCTATCATAGTTTTCACCATCAGTAATATAACTCTCTACTTTAAACCTATCAGTGCTCTATAGCAGTGATCAAAATAAGTGGCAAACAGCTGAAAGACAGGAGGCCTCTATTTTCTTATGTCTCATTCACATTTTTTTAATATTACAATATTTAAAGCACCATATTCACGTAAAGCATAATAATTTCTCACAGTAAGAATTGAAGAAATAATTTTTTTCTACATAAAATTAGACAGAAAATCATTGCATGCAATGCAGTTACTTTAACTAGGAACATTAACAGCAGTCCTTCACATTCCATCTCAGTCATTTTTATTTGAATTTCAAAAATCACGAATACAGCTGTTATCACTTGTCTTCATCAAGACAAGGTAATCTAAAGATGGGATGTTGCTGAAAAAGCAGGTGGCTGTCCCTTTCACCTGTCCTGCTTTCTTGTGCTGGCTTTAGCATCTGTGTGTACAGTCCTAATGCAAGTCAGATCAACCTAAAAAGCTGATTGAAAACTAGCTGCTTTTACACAGAGGCTTAGCTTTCAGCTAGATAAATGAGCTGAAATGACTCCACAGCCACACTGTCACTACTGTTGCAATCAGGAAAGCAGGTCAAGCATGCGACAAGGGGCAGGAAAGTCCTTTTCATAAACAGAATAGTATTGGATAAGCTTACACTAATTGTGAAAACACACCCTTAAGTAACAAAGGAACAGTGGAGAGGATGCATCCTCAGTTCTGCCCTCGCTGACAAGTGGCAATGGAGAGAGAGGAGAAAACCTAAAGCTCAGTTCTTAGACAAGTTCAATTAAAAACTTGTACTGGAGCATGCCTAAATCTTGCTTCAAATCATGCTTCAAAGTGAAATGTTAGTTCTGACCTCAACTAGACATGTTTTGCTCTCTCTTTGTAAAATAAGGATACTAATATACCAGCTCTTTCTAGACCATGTTTGTTTGGTTTCTGTGAGAAATAAAGGCTCTGAAGTTTGGGGAAAAAAGAGAGAAAATTGAATAATTGTAGTTCCCAAAATAGGGTTCTCTGCAATACTTGTTACTAAGGTTCAGTTGAGTGGAGGTGTATTCCCAGAGCAAATTCAAGTAAATTGAAATACTTTACAAAAAATGTTGAAGATTTTGAATGAACTCAGAGCATGTTATGCTTAAGATCTTCATTATTCTATTAAAAGCCTAAACCCTGGTGCTCCCTGCAGAGGTGCTACAGCATAATGCTAATGCAAGGATAGATTAATAGACAAAACCCCAATGCACAAAATTAAAGAATCACTAGCAGTTACTTTGTACATAAAACAAACCAAAGGCCTCACTAGGGGATGGAGAATTTTTTTAAAATCCGTCTTGCAGAGAAGACTGCGTAATTTTATTTACTAAACACTAAAGAATAACTAGGCCCTACATTTTATGTGTAAGTGGGAAGACATCAGGTGTGGTCAGGGTACTTGGGCTGAAGCATGAACAGAGAATTTTCATTTCCAGTTTTACCACTGAAATTCAAATGAGGATTTACAACAACAACAACAATAACAGAAGAGCGGAGTGAAATATACGATTCGGTGTCTCCACAAGCTGTGAAAACCCTGGTAGCAGGGAGAAGGAATTTGGATTTTCAGGACCGAGCACCTACATGCTGATTGCAAGAGAGAGAAGTAAATTCTATTAATTTTTAACAAAGGCATTCAGCAGGGATATACCCACGAAAACCTCGTGCAGAAACCATCTAACACCCGTGCTTAAAGCTCGGACCGGTCATGGAAGACCATGGGCTAACAGAGAACAGAGCCTTTGCCCAGTGTCCGGCCCAAGCCCGTGCTCCGGGTCCAGGGGCGGTGGCGGGGGACACTGGCTCTGGCACCGGCACTGGCTCTGGCACCGGCACCGGCACCGGCACCGGCACCGGCACCGGCACCGAGCTCGGGGGCGGCGGGGCCGGCCCAGGTGTGCGCCGCCTCCGCCGCCACCGGGTGGCGCCGCGCGCTCCGCCCTCGGGCCGCCCCACCCCGCCCTTGGCCCGTGTCGTGCCCCTTTTTCCAGCCAATGAGAAGCGGCGGGGAAGGCGGAGCTCGGAGCGCGCGGCCCAATGGGCAGCGAGAGCTGATCAGGCGGGGGCCAATCGGGGGCACACCGGTGAGTGCGCGACTCCGGGGCCGGGGGCAGGGCGGGGAGGGGGCGTGGCCAAGGGGGCGCGGGCCCTCAATCAGGTGAGGGCGGTGCTGACGGGCGGCGGCGACGGCCAATGGCGGCGCGGGGGCGGGGCCTGTCCTGTCCTCCCCTCGCGCCGCCGAAGCTGCCAGAGAGTCAGGTGGCTCCGGGATGCGCGGCGGCGGCGGCAGGAGGCGGAGGCGGGCGCGGAGGAAGCGGCGGATGGGGGGGATGCGGCGGCTCCTCCACGGCACACGCTGCTTGGTCTCGCCCCTGCCCGCGCTAGGCTGAGGCGGCCCCGCGCCGGGAAGCCCCGGCAGCGGCGGCGGCACCCGGTGCCGGCGGGCGCCGGGCCGCATGAACAATAGGCGGCGGTCCCGGCCCCGCCGCCCCCCGCAGCGCCCGGCTGCCGCGGGCGCCTCCCCCTATGGAGCAGCCTCGCCATGGAGCCCCTCACCGAGCTCAGCCAGGAGGGCGCGGGCGGCGGGGAGCCGCCGGGCGACGGGCCGCTCTGGACCGCTGTCTTCGAATACGAGGCGTGCGGCGAGGACGAGCTGAGCCTGCGGCCGGGGGACGTGGTGCAGGTGCTGTCCCGGGACTCGCACGTGTCCGGCGACGAGGGCTGGTGGACGGGCAAGATCGACCAGCGCGTCGGCATCTTCCCCAGCAACTACGTGAGCAGCGGCGTGCAGGCGGGCGGCCCGGAGCTGCGCGCCCGATACCCGCCGCCCCCCGCCATACAGCGTAAGGGCTCGGCGCGGCCCCGCCGCCGAGAGGGAGGGAGCCGGGGGAGAGACCCGGTTCTGCCCCCCTGTCGCGGGCTTGGGATGGGTACGGGAGGAGGGACGAGATCGGCGGGACTGCCGAGGTTGTGGGGGGAGCCGAAGCTCGGCCCTCCCGATGTCCCTGGGTGGAGGCCTGATCCGCTCCGACTGGCCCGGCCCTTTTGTGGGTCCTGTTGGAAGCCGGTGCCACCGCTGAGGGGGAAGGGAAGGCCCATCCCGGTGGCGAGCGGCCGTGGGAGGCCGCGGGCCCAGCTGGCGGTAGGGGGGGGGCCTGCGATGGCCTTCGGTGGCGAGCGGAGGGGCTACGGCATCTCAGCCCCCCCGCCCGGGGGCCGCCCCAGGCCCCCGGTGTGTGCCCTTTCCCACCCGCGGAGCTATTCCTGCTGCTCCAGTGCCCTTCTGTCTTCGGGCTAGCGCGCCGCTCCCTGGGAGGCAGAGCCTCGCTCTCTGTGTTGTTAGCGTTTCAGCAACGCCGGGAGCAGTTTCCCATTGTTAAGACCTGTGTTTCTAGGGGCTGATAAATTTTCATCAAGCTACAGAATCCTGGGAGGCTGGGCAGTGATGGAGTCACCAGGGCTCTGGTCATTCTGCCTTTAAGAATATTCTTAAAGAAAGGTTGCTGGGAGGGAAGCAGGTTTTTTTCCTGAAGTGTTGATTCACTGCTAATACTTGCTCAGGATTATCCCACTTACTAACCAAAAGCTTACTATTTCTGACTGAAAAATTCCTAAGTTGACTTGTGTTACCAGGTTCCTCTGCCCTCTTACACATTCTGTCCTAAAATACCTGTGAATGAGTTGTATCCATGTTTTGGATATCTGGGCCTGCCTGAGGGTCACTTGACATGTGATGCTATGTTGTGATAATGAAGGCACTGAGGAATTGGTTTGTTTCCCTGAATTTCAGCACAGTTTTGAAGCCTTTGTTGGAGATGGAGAATAGGGCTGTTTCATCTCTACATTTTTTTAGTCACTATGTACAATTGTGGAAAGAAAAACAGTGTGGAATGGCTTTCTAGATCCTGTTTATCTATCACCATTGACAATTCAGGCAAGGATGCTTTTTTTGGAGGATCATAGAAAAATCTTCAGACTAGTAGGCTTTTCTAGAAAGAAAAGGAGTGAAAAGATGCTTTGTCCTATCTAGGCCATATCTCCAAGGAATACAACTAATAGCCTTTTTTCTTACTCTGTATTCTGCTTGAAAGCATTTAGGTAAAACTCAGAAATTTGTAGCATTGCCCTTGGGCTTGTGAAAGGACTAGGTGCTGTTCCTTTCTTTCATGCTGCAAGAGCATTGGTAAGTTATCTTTTCCCCACACACAGAAGGAGCTGTGAATGGATGCTTATTAGGTTTTGCTTTTGAGATACCTAAGAAAATAATTTCTACAGAACTTTTTGAACCCTCAGCTCCCGTCCTGTTTTGAGTGTTCAAGTTCAGGCTTTGTAACTGTGGATTCTCTTGGTCTCTTTTCTATGGTTTGATAGTTGTGGAGTTGTACCTTCCCCCTTTGTCTTTGCCTTACTCTTCCCATGCTCCAACAGAGCTACGCTATTTCTCTTCTATCAAGTCACCAACCATATGTTCATGACAAAGTAGAATTTATTGCCCTCCAGAGGTTTGTATAAAGCTTAAGTAGTATGGGTTTTTTTAAAGGAAACAATGCAGTTTGGACAGGGGTTAAAGTTGGTTGCCATTGAATTGGATTTTTGAGTATTAAAAGTCCTTTGCAAGGAATGCTATCCACTTTTAGAGATGACGTTAGTTTGATAGCTGTTTGGAATAGTAATCACCATCTACTGTTTAATACTTCATAGTTCAGTAAGTTCAGTTTTACAGGAGTGATGCAAAGTGTCATTCTGGGCATGCACCTCGCACAGAACCTATTTTTACTTGCTTTCCTGAAGTTTATCTATATATTTAATGAAAATTTGGAAGTATAAGTCCTAGAGGTTCTGTTTCTACTGAGAGCTGTACTAGTTTAGCTGGTAATTTTAGCCATCCACGTAGTGTGCTTGAATCTTGCCTTGGTCAGGACACCATAAATGATACAAGTAGCCTGTAGAGGCTGTCAGGAGTGGGCCAGCTTGAGGGACTCTCATCTGTGCTGTGGGC